AATTTAGTTTATCTGGTTCTGGACCTAGCTTGCAAGTTGCAATTGCCTGATCTAAATGCTTCTGTTATGCTTCTGGGTTTAGTTAATGCAAAGTCACAACTCCTGACTTCTGCTTTCCGTTGTTCTCTCTGCTCTGTGTAGCAAGAGTGAGGAAACCGTTCCTTACTGAAATCCAAGCAGACTTTTCAGATACCTTGCAGTTAGCTAATAATAATATAGAAAAAAAGGTTACATTAGTGTCATCCACCCTGAATGAAGTTGAGTTTATATCCAGCCCTTCTGCGTTAGATTTCCCCACCCTTGCTTTAACCAGTGTCTCTAGTCAGTAACACTGTGGTATCTAGGCTGACTTTACCTAAGAGTGTAAGTTAATGAGTTCAGGTGAGGGGTCAGAGGTAGAGTCATATTGCCTAATTAATCTAATAGGCTTATCTTATAAGGATGGAAGGGTGGTTTTGTGAGGTAACCTGGATATAGTTGGGTATATATGAGTGCTGCTTTGTGCTTTAGTCTTTTGTTTGCTTGGGGATTTTTTGAGGGGGTGGAGGTGAGCGCTTATATTGTTGGAAGGTGTTTGTTTGAACTATGAAGAGTTAATAACAGTGCTTTTTTTTCTAGGAGGAAGAATCTCACAATACACCAACAGCCAACACCCTTCTTGACACCAGCCATCTAGAAACAGACATCTGGTCTGCAATGCCAACGCTTTCCAATGGGAATTCTGAGCCCAGAAGACCCAAAATAACATTTGATGATGTGTAAGTATTATTGGATCTCTGTGCTAGCTGCATGTTATGTAGTTGGCATTTTCATGCAAGCAGAGCTCCCAGTGAAAGAGAGTATCTTTGATTATACCACTAGCAGTGGGCACCTGTCTGGATAGTGCTGCGCAAAGGCACACACAGTTTTAATCTTTACAAATGAACTGTTGTCGCTGATTAATGAAGACTCTGTTGATAAATGTTTTCAGATCTTGAATGTTGGTTCATGGTAATTCTTCTTCATTTTTTAATTTTCACTTCTCTAATGGAAACTTCTTATACTTAATTAGTTTAAAATATTTTTCCTTTTCCTCTGTTCAGCACACATTTAATGGGTCCTTTGGGTGGCCAGTTTCTACAGCAAGTTATTTTACATTCTGGTCACCCATCGCATCTTTGCATACAGCAGCTTCAGATTAATATCAGGTTAAGATTTAAAGAGATAAGTGGGTGTATATGTCGAAATTGTTCTTGGAAGCAGTCAGCAAATTTCCCAAACAATGTTTGTCCAACTGTATGAAAACAAAGACTTGAAATAATTGATTTTGTCTCTTTAGGCTTCACAATGCGGATTATTACATGCAAGAGGCTAAGAAGCTAAAGCATAAAGCAGATGCTCTGGTAGGTTACCACAGGGTTTTTTGTCTCTTTCCACTATGAAACTGGCTGTTACAAAAATGTACATTCTGAATGTCATCTAAAGCCTCAGAAGCCAAGAGGAACTCTGCTATTGACTAAAGTATGCTTCAGATTGTACTCCATAAACACACTGTCCACAACAAGTCAAACCCTGAGCACCATTCCTAGCCTTTAACAATTCGTTCCCAAAAAAAGAAGCTCCTTATAATAGCTGGTATCTCTTCTGAGGAGGAGCAACAGTCATGCTGTTTATGAAGGATGTAAGATAATTTCATGAAAGATGATGTGTGTTTGAAATTTGTTTTCCTATTCACTTTGAGCCTAAAACAAAAGTGTTGAAATATTCCATAACAGAAAGTTAAGAAAGGCAAATCACCCTCCACCCCATTATCATGTGGTAAAACTGTTTGATATTTCCAATCCAATTGTTTAAAATTTGCAACAATTGATTTTTAAATAGTACATTCATTTTTATTGCATGCTTTTAGGCTGGTAAATAAAGACTCAACATGCTTTTTTCCAAAAAATCTTGCAATGAGGTAGTTCAATGCTGGGAAAGCTTTTTCTCTCATTTTACCCCAGATGAAATTCCAGTAAGATGGACCTAATTTTGCAGTGTTTTGATTTTGATAAGACTACTTAGTCTGACAGATTATACTCTATCATAGTTTGTTCAATCCAAGCTATTGCTAGCCCTGAAGTGCCTTTAATAGCCATTTGCTTTATAGTTAGGGACTTTGCTCCTGTACGCTACATAGAGTGCAGAACAGCAGCTCATTTAGGCAGGCTTAGTGGAACTTGACTCCTCTATTTAAACTAAGATGTCTAAAATGGAGTGTGGCCATTCACTTTGCCCCTGAAAATCACAACTGAAAAAGAACTGGGTGATTATTCACCTCTCGCTTTATTATTTGTGGGGTTTTTGCATGCATATTATATCATTCCACATCAGGGATTTTGTGCTTGGAAATAAGTGTTTGTCCAAAAAACCACCCCCAAAACAATCGCATGCTATGTTTTTAAAAAACAAAACAAACAAATTAAAAAATGGCTCTCCCTCTGCTGTCGGTGAGCTGAAGGAGAGTTGACATGTCAAGCTGCCTGCTTCAACTCTCCAGGCTCCCTTTTGACTTGGGGCACAGTGTTACCAAGTGTGTTTTCTGTGGGAGGTGGGCTCAGGTTTTTGGCAACCTGCCGTGAGTGTCAGTAAGTTAGCAGTCGTCCCTCCCGACCTGCCTATTTACAGGAGGGGGCCTCCACCGATTCCTGCAGCCCGACTCAGCAGAGTACGTTCAGCCAGAGCCCTGACACCTGCATGTGGGGAAGGCTGGCAGAAGCAGACTGACAACACCTCCCACAGCTGATTGACCTTTAAAGAAAATACACATTGTTCTGGCAGAGGGATGCCTGCTCCACACTAGCAAATATTTACAGGCTCAGGCTCCTGATGATCTCAACATGCTATGTCAATCCACTTCCCTCCACAGCCTGATTCACTCAGAAAGTGTTGACCTGTCTCCCATCCTCTTACCTTTGACTATGCCTTGCGGAATAATCGGGGGTGTTTCTCAAGCAGAACTAAGAGGAGCAGGCACGGCACGTCATGCTCCTGCCTGCAGGCAGACCTTGCCTGCCACATGCAGTTTGACACCCCGAGTGCTCTTATGGGAATGTGAGGCCATCCGCTACGATACAACTTGTTGGCAGACGTAAATACCCGGGAACAAAGTATCTGCTTTTTCTTCCCGTTATTTAGGTCTCAACTTTTTTTTTTCCCACCCAATACAGCTGCACACAAATTATCTTCATGTAACACATTTGCTGTGCAATCCTGTAGTGTTAGTTGTCCTATGGAAACAATTGCTTCTGGTTACTTGGTGCTGACATGACAAAGCACATACAGCATTGAAAGATATGTTGCAGTGGCTAGAAAGATAATGCATGTGACCTCAAAATGTGTCAGCAAATGTTAATGAGATTTGTGGCAATGCTGTTCCTGAGCTTTCTGGTGAAGGGCAGGGCATTTTGCGTCTTACGGGAGCGACCCCATGAAAACCTATCCTTGTCTGGGCCGGCAGTAAGGAATCAGCTAATTTGGATGGGCTGGTGCAGTGGCAACTGACTGTACCATATGGAAGAGATCTTGGAGACCTCGCTCTGTTCTCGGCTGAGAAGTGATGAGCTGGAGTAATTCCGCCTACTCCACTAGAGTCAGCATGGAGCAAAGGGCAGGATCGGATCCCATTTCTGGCTCAAACTGTGTGTCTGTACTAAATCTACTTGCAATCAGATTCCTTTTTTTTCATACCACAAAAAGTCATCTTTGGAAGACTTGAAGCGAGGAATTTGAAGAATACGCTGAGAAGTGGCCATTGGAATAGAGAGAAAACATTTAGAAATATTTCTCCTTTTGTGATCATTCAAGTAATACCTACCAGTTATACAACGGCTTTGTTCGTAATCAGTGCACAAGAGCAGAACTTGAAATTAAAGGTATGCAGAGGGAACTAGTTATAAGGATTGCTTAGAAGTAGCCACAAAGGCAAATATACTGTTACCTTGGACCAATACTAAATGTTCTGCTTAATATGTTGCTAGGATAGGTTTCCGTTTTGTGAATAGAAAACATATGCAGATGCATCAAAAATATTTTGATAGAGACATACAAAGAAATTTTTAAATTATTTAAAGTATATTGGATCTCTTATATCAAATGCCACATTAGTAGAATTCTTACATCCAGCTATCAAAAATTGAAAATGTTAAATACTATTGTAAAATACTTACTATAAAAATGTCATCTATAATATTCATTACACATAAAAAAAGAAATCAGTATGTCTAAGTCAGTTTAATCACAACCATTATGAGGGCTAAAACCTTTTGCAATAAAATCCTAGTAAAATAAAATATTTAGCAGTGCTATATTTTCTCCTTCTTTTTTTCTGCTCTTTCAGTCATCCCATAAGTGATGAGATTTTTTTTTTTGTCAACAGTTAACACAGAATGTGACGTCTGACAAATGGCATGGAGTTGTTACTTAACCCATGTATAGTGACATTCAAACTTAGTTCATATATCAAGGAGCAATATGGATTTGTTAAAACATGCTTACTGTCCCTCATTGCCTGTATAAATCCATGCATGTCAATGGACACACATTGACTTGCCTCTGTGGAGCGTCTGGCAATATGCTACCTGAAAAGATTACGTAAAAACATAGATCCTGCTTTAATTACTGTATGAATTCATTCTTAACTACCAGCGTCACTTTGCTTTCATCCTAATGCTAGTGTTGCTTTGTATTATGATCTGTCTACCTAGAAATTAAAGCTGAAGGATTTTCTTGACAGTGTCATTTCCATTTCAGCTGGAGAAGTTTGGCAAAGCAGTGAATTACGCTGATGCTGCCCTCTCCTTCATCGAGTGCGGGAACGCTATGGAGCGAGATCCATTAGAAGCTAAATCTCCATACACCATGTACTCGGAGACTGTGGAACTCATCAGGTTAATGTCCTTTCTGTGATCATTTTCATAATCTCATTTCAGTCATAATTAGAACCTGCTATGTTTTAAAAAATACCATTTCAACGTATTAATGATTTGTCCAAGGCATCTTCATCTCAGAAGTCATCATAATTAGTTCTTGCCATTTTATTAATGTCATGGAAAATTTATAATTGATGGACACTGCTTTTATAAATTATCCCCTTTAGAGGTTATAATGTGAGTGTTATAATTTGCAATATTCATAAAATTAAAATTGAAATGTAGTGGGTGGAAGTAAAGTATAGTAATTTCACTGTTTGGCAATGACACTTGTCTTTTAAAAGGTGTAGTTTTATAATTCAAAACATTAAAGTGAGTCTATCAGGATTTCTATTACAAACCATGGTTTTAGAGGCTGTTAAAAAAAAAAAAAGCTGAAACTTGGCACATAAGATCATAGCCAGAGAGGAAGCTTTCCGCATGTATTGTATTAAAAAAGTATATTTTTTAACGTTAAAGAAATGTGAACCAGCTGAATTAGTTTTAATACAGTTTTGTAGACTCATAGGCTAGAATATGGATGAGAGCGCCTTTACTTACTAATAAAATGTCTGAATTATTATTTTTAAATCAGCTACTGTTCCCTATAGCTGTTTCATAGTGTTGGCTCCATAGAAATAATGGCCTCCTGAGTAACTAAGGGCTTGTTTGCTTTACTTGTGCAAATTATCAAAGTGAAATCAAGCAGGATTAAATTTACCTGTCAGTAGAACAACAGGATTTTTCCTCTTGCCCGTGATGCACCTTTGTTTTCCCCCGTGTATGCTGGGAATATCACCATTAATGTCAGTGTAATTACTGGCAGTTTACACAAGAGAGAGGAAAGGAGGCAAATCAGGCCCTAAGTGTTTGGATTTTAATATGACAAAGGTGTTTTTTTAACGTCCAGGATTTTAACATGCCAGATTAGCTATTAGGGACTGCCAAAAATAATGCATGTTTTACATTTTGAATAAGTAGGTATTTACATAATAAAATGTATCAAATCTTAAGAAGCTCTTACTCTCAGGTAAATAATATGCCTGTTAAATATTTAAAACACTTTTTTACCTTCTACACTTCATAAAGAGAAGAAGAAAATCTAAAGAGATTACTCAACAAAAAAATGATGTTCACTCAACACTTACAATCCAAGGTAGACCCTCGAGAGGAAAGGACTTCAGAAAAAGAGCCGCCTACCTCTGCTCCACTGTGCTGAAACTCTTCCTGCACTCTGACAGTGGACAGTTCAGTACTTTGTGTCCTGAACTATACGACTACAGTTGTATGGCAGGATAAACTGTATTCAGAGAAATATTCTAAAGAAGTGAGTGCTTCTTCATAGGAGCCGCATTTATTTTTATTTTTTAAGAAAACCACATGGCACAGTTGAAAAAGTTGTTCCTCAGTCCAGCAGTCTGTCTGTTCAGAAGCGGATGGACCAAAAATCTTCGTTCATTCAAGAGCCACAACACATGCACCGCTTAACTCAGAGAATGGCAGCTCTTAGGGGTAGCTCGCAAATGGGTGATACTGGCAGCTCCCCTCCACCCTACACTGCTGGTGCCGGATGGAGTCAGCTGAGCGTCTGGCTGCATCTTGGAGCAACTGGAGCATCAGCATACGCAGCCCCACTGCCTTGCTCTTCCCGGCAGCTCCTGGTTCAGCACAGTCCTGCTGCAGGCTACATGATAGATAGACCTTGGCATGGGAGCAGCACCTGAATTGCTTTTGGATTGCTTTTTGAACTGCTTTTGGCTATGGAAGAATCTGGAGGACTTTGTTATAGTAGATCTCCAATTTCTAAATAGCTACAGTCAGGTGAGATTAATTCCATCACCTACCATCAAAGGTAGAGCTTAACTTACCAACTCTTGTATGCAGCATCTTGTAGGCAGAGAGAGACTGATTTGCCCATTTAATTGCTGTCAGTGATCAAACATGGAAAAAAGGTGATTGCCCAGGTGAGCAGCAGGCTGGTACAGGTTCAATAAACTCCATGGACAAAAACACAATTCTTGTGGGCTACAATGGGTGCTGAATGTACAAACCAAGTATGTGGCTGTGCACACACACTTTCTCAATGTGGCTCCTAATGTTAATATAGATTTTTACTGTGAGACAAGAAATAGAAGGAGATTTTTCTCACTTTTACTGCTCTCCTCATCAGAGGCACCATTTTCCCCTTTTGCATTAGCTGCCCTGAGTACCTGCATCAGACACCTATTTGTGAAAGCAAGTGGAGCATCAAAGAGATTGGGAATATCAGATCTGACTGTCAAAGGTGTTTTAAGTTAATGGTAATGCTAAAATCCCTAACGTAACGCTGAAAATCCGCAAGAGACGTATATCTTCGTGTTTGATCAGATTCATTCAGTATGATTGGAACAACAATACCAAAGAGCAGGTGAGATAGGACATGGAGGAGCATATCAGGTGGTGTGCTACAGCTGCAATCTGGGGCTGATGGTGGGGGTGGTGGGAGGAAGGCAGAGCGAGAGCAGCACTGCCTGCCTGCACTCCATTACCTCCTTGTAAATGAGAACTCATCAAGACTGCCTGGATACCTTAAAACTTTCTTACACATCGCTGAACCCTATTACTTATTCTAACACAAGTACCTGTGAAATTGCATTAGGGCTCAGAACAATGATTTTATGTGACGAATTGATTTTCAAGAGACTAAATGCATGGAATGGAGTGTGCTCAGTTAAAGGAAAAAAAAGAGAGAGGAGGTAGGAATACTCAATCTTTGATCATCCAAATGCTGGACAGCAGCAATTAAATAGAGAGGGAAGACCAAGTACACAAGGTTCCTAAATTAATGGACCCAAGAATTTAAAAAGCTGTGAACATGACTTTTACTGTGTTTAAAACCATTTTCTATATAAAATATATTAAAAGCTTTGAAGAAGCATTTATTAGAAGGATTTTGAAGGTATTATTCAAGCCCAAAGTATTATATGTAAAACCTTATTATGTATTACTCTACTCTTCGGTACATATGGGGCCAAGATCTTATGCTTCTGTCCAACACTCATCACAAATGTTTGCAGGACTCAGCCTAATATGCCCAAGAATAGTTCACCTTGTTGGCCCAGAAAGTGGGTTGGTGATTTACTTTAGCCCTCTAGATTTTAAGTGGTACTTTCTGTTGAATTTTACATTGATCTCATCGTTATAGAACAATGTGACCATTAACTATTGCAGTTGGAGAAGAATATCTATGTGTGGCTGTTACTTTTCAGAGTATCACTCGTGTTCCTGGAAACATCTTAATTCTCAATTTCTTCTCTCCTCACCTTTCTGACAAGGTATGCAATGAGACTCAAGAATTTCACAGGCTCTTCTGCCACGGAAGGGGACAAGAAATTAGCAGTTTTATGGTAAGTCCCATTGCAGCAATGAGAGAAGCAGCTAAAATCTTAAGGAGGACTTTAAAAGTACTGAATTACTTAAGCAGCTTACAGAAGATCATTATTCTTGTTTTCCATTAAACTATTAAAGGATAACTAATGGATTTCTTCAGCAGCTGACTAAACATTTATTCTTCTAATTTATACTCTTATCAAGATGGGATTTTAATGCTTTTGACCACTTCTTTTTCTTTCTCCATTTGCTTATGTTTCAAAATCTAACCTTAGAACAGAAACTGCAAAATATAGGTCAGCATTTTTTTTTTTTTTTTACAGTTTATAGGTCTCATTAAGCAATGGAATTAACATAATCCTTTCCTAATTACCACAGCTACCGATGCTTATCACTTCTCTACTTGAGAATGTTTAAACTAAAGAAGGACCATGCTATGAAGTACTCCAGATCTCTGATGGAATATTTTAAGGTAATCTTTATTCTGTTTAATTTATTGATATAAAATGAAATTCACACCAGCATTGAGAGCTCTCACAAGTATAACTGCGTGACTTAAAAGTCCCACATTTAACCCCTCCCCTGGGAAATGCAGGCAGGATGGCTGCCAGGGAGTGGGGACAGAAGTGATTTGGGGGATTTTGGGATTAGTCACTTGATTCAAAGGACTATACTCAGTAATTCTACTAAAATAACGTTATTCTCAACACCATGTAATGTTTATGCAGGTTTCTGTAAAGGAAACTGATTCTTTCAAGACTTCAATGTGCAAGTGATTATGAACTGACTCCCAATGAACTATAATAAAGCAATTATTTAGGCTTTAGTTAGTTAAATTTAGATTTTAAATTCAGTGAGATTTGCTGAAGCTTATTGCAGACTCAGAGATTTCTCCTTTTATTTCTGTGGAATTTCAAATTGCCTTATCTACATCTTGAAAGTTTGCCTTTACCTTGAATCAAGTGGAAATCAGCTGATTGTCATGACTCGCTGATGTTTTCCTTTACCTTGTCAAATGCTGTTTACCCAGTGTAAGAACAACAAGTCCTCACCGTTCCTAAATTAAGAGAGAAACAGAATCTTTCTTCAACTCTGCCAGTGTTTTGATATTTATATTTTACTGGTTAATGCTGTTTGAAGCATACATTAATTCTTGTACTTTATTACTTCGTATTATTCTATAATTATGTAATTATACTGGTTTGTCAGCCCATCGGTCTTTTTCTGTTGTTTTTTTCAGCCTCTGTGAATTTGTTCCAGCCTTTGACATACTAGTACTGCAAACCAGTAAAACTTTTAACGCTGGAGTTTTAGTATTTTCATGTAAATGGTGATAAAACTCCAGTACTCTCACGCTAGCAACCACCACTTAGTCCTGACTTCCGTGGTGTCCTCTGTGTGTGTGTGTGTGTGTGTGTGTATCTGTAACTTCAGTGATGTTACTCCTGACCTTCTGCTTAAATTGAGGCTCTCTTGAAGCCATGAGCAGTGCCTCTGTTGTACTCGTGGAGTTTTCAGTCAGGGATTTGCACAACAAATTAAATTTGAACTAGTCACATTTATAGCCTCAGCATTTTCATGAAATGTATTCCATCCACTTCAGATTTTATCCAGGATGAATGTAGATTGTCTCTTAAAAAAAGGTTATTAGATAAACCATTTGATAAACTTTTTCTGCAGTAAGTAATGATTTCTTAAAAGAAAAAAAAGAGGAGGGGGGGATTCTCTCTTCCCTTAAAGCTGCTTTACTTTCTCTAGCTGTGCAAATAGGTACAATAAAGAACATATTACTACGCCCAGCATAAAACCATTTTACAGCATCCGCATAGAGAAAATGTCTTTTAATGTAAATGAAAATGTAAGAAAAAAATTTAAAACATAATAAAATAGACAAATCAGGAATGCTGGGTTTAGGCAACGAGTTGAAGCTGAGTATTTCAGCTAATGTTACTGTGTGTATGCTATGGGCACTGCAACTCATTTGCTAGAAGTAATATTTGAGTGTATATAGATTATATGTTCAGGATCTTTTTGTAGTAAGGCATAGGAGGTAAAAAGAAAAGAATGGGAGCCATTAACTACATATTAGTTTTGTATTGCTGCACAATGTTCACCATGTTCACTAGCAAGAATCTGTAATACAAATGAAATAGATTAACTGTTTGAAAAGAGTTATTATTCAAAATTTTGCACAATTTTAACTGTGAAAAGCAGCCCACTGTTTACAGCAGAGCTGGAGAGGAATTTTTTGGCAGAATTGGTTTTCATATTTTCCCGCACAAATGCCACTTTGTCCAAATTGAAACCATTTGTGGACAGAACTGGTTCTGATTAATGTCCAATTAAAAGTTTCAAATTTGTATTTTTGACATTTCAAAACAGAAAATAACCATTTAATCATAAAATTAGCTTTGAAATTTAGGGACAACTTGGAGTAAAATATAACTAAAATGATAAATTTTTAAAATTGAAATCAAACTTTTTAAGATTGGCAAAAGTGGCATCCTTTGATGCATTTCACCTAAAAGTTTGAGGAAGATTTTTATGTTTTTGAAAATTTGTTGTCAATAGTCATGGGCAAAAATGTTTCAAATATTTTCATTGTCAGATGACTACCTCCAATCGAGATCTAGCCTTAATCTTGACAAATCTAGTATTTGTCTCCAGATACTGTTGGGAACAATCCCCAGCCAATAGAAACTAAAATCAAAGCTGCTTCTTCATCCCTGAAGACTTTCCAGGGAACTTTAGGATCTCCCTCCTTCTTACATATGAGTGGGTGGCAAAAATATACACTACATATGCTCTGTACTGCAAAACACTCCATTTCATGCTCATATCTTTAATGAAACACAGTTGCATGCTGTATAGGAACATACAGGAAAGGCCAGTATCATGGTTTGGGCAGTGTCTTCTGCTTTGGTCAATACTGTTTGGCAAGTTTAGCTGTGTTTTAGAACTCAAGGGTAGGATTTTGCTCCCAGAGTCAGCTGCGTGACCGTGGGCCATGCCCTGGGCTGCTCTGTGCTCCACTGAATCTCTGTGCCTCACATGCAAAATAGTGATTACAGTAACCAGATGAATCTTGTAATAATGACGGCAATACTTTGTAGAGAACTTGTAAAATTTGATTGAATTTTCACTGTGCGTGCTGACTTCTTTGCAAGGGAGCTCAGAGTGATTGTTTTCAGAAAGCACACATAGATAGCTTCAGCCCTGATACTACCGCTTTTTATGGGAACTAAGTAAGATACCACCCAGTCTGACCAAGACTGGAAAAATCTGGGCTTTATTGTTGCTGGGCAATCTTTTTGTACAGGGTTGTACAAGGTGCTACACAGACGTGAAAGGCAGAATGAGTAAGCAGGTAAGGAAAGTCAATTTGTGCAAATAAAATACATTAAAACAAGGGCATTCAAGCAGATCGTTACCAGAAGTTTTATTTCTACTACTATCTGAATCCCAAGCCACCTTCCCTAGCAACTTGGGAGGGATTAATTTCGTTAAGGCATCTACCCAAGTTCTTTTTGTTTCTTACTAAAAGATTGCAGGTCCCCCTAAAGATGTCATTTGCACTCTGAAGAACTTACTTTGTAGAATAAGTTTCAGTGGTAATTAAACCACTTCTTTGTGAACTACATCTGCTTTTACTGGAACATTACTGTATTCCCTCTTTCATCAAGCGACTTTCAAGCTACTGGTTGGAACCTACCAATCATCCACCAGCCATTTAATGACGGGACTGATGTGCAGAGCCGTTCTGCTACATGCACTGTAGCTCTTGCAACGAAAACAGGGAGTGTTGAGCCTGTGTCATCAGTATTCATGTACTTGCATCACCTTTATTTACATGTTGGTTTTGTACTTACAGAACTCCTCAAAAGCCTCACAGGCCCCCTCACCTTGGGGCGGCAATGGAAAGTGAGTATTTTCTGCTGAGTATTTCTGTCTGGGAACGAGTGGTTCCAAGAGGGGGGAAAATGTGTTGGTGCCTCTAAAGGCAAAGATCAGGCCATGACTCAGTGGTTTGGGAGCTACAGGTACGTTTCAAGTATGTAGCAGGTAGAAAATCTTCTTCTGGGCTACAGAATTGATCTTGCAGCTGCCTTGGGCTTGTGGGGGTGAGGGGCTCCCACTGGGCTAAATCAGGTACGCATGTGAGGCATCCAGCGTGGGTGGGAAGGAAGAGCTGAAACGCACCTTCATCTTTGTGCAAAGCCCCCTTAAGTCTAAAATCAGCCGTGGTGGGTCTGTGCTGAATTCTCTGACAGTTTGCTTCTCAAGCCAAATGAAGGCCATAAAAATATCTGTTAATTAGCTAGCAAGTACCATGTCATTTCAGGAAGCCAAAGTAAAGTTAACCTTCATTGCAATGATTTTTCAATGATTCGTTCAGTAATGAAAGACCAATGAATATTTCATTGATATATGGTAAGTGCTGTTTAATAAAACTGAAGGCGTAATAGTGGTGAAAATGTGAAGGCACTTAGTCAACCAATTATCAGTGGCTTTATACTAACGTTAAAACACCCTCGCCTCAGATACGAAGTCAGGGTAGTGCAATTATGATCTGCTGTTCAATGAAGGTGCATTGCTGCTGCAACCTTGCCTTTATCTTGCAATGTCTAATGCCACCTGACACACATTTCTCCTGCTCCTCTCTCTTGGCCACGCATACAGATACAGGTAAAACAAAGGAGAAGGACTTTACCTTTCTTTCCTTCTTTATTTGAGTAGGCTGAATTCTAGGTGAAAATGATTATCGTTAATGGTCTCTTTCTGGTGGTTCATAAGAAGAAATTACTATTATACACTCCAAGGAAACAAAGTAATAAAACTGTAGAAGGGGTTGAAGTTGAGCACACAAAGAACTGAAGTTTTCAAACAGACTTTGTTCTGAATCAGTGCAAAACCAAAAATTCGAACATTTTGCTTGAAGGAAAATATTGTCTTAGATAATTCAAAATATTTTTGGGGATATATACACACACACACACACCCCAAATACACAAAATTATTTTGAATATGTGTGTATCTAGATATTTAAGTATAGATTATAACACAAACTAAAGCAATGAAATACAAAATCACTTTAAATAAAAACCGACAAGATTTTTTAACATTGGAAAAGTAACTCCTAGATTAAATTATTCAATATGTTCCAGTTTTTCAAGGCATGTAAATGTCAATGAAACCTTGTATTGCATTAAAAATACAGTAAGGTTTACATAAAGTTTTAGTGCCGAAATAGACCACTGGAGCATTACACCTCTTTTGTTCCTTAAGAAGTGGCTTATACCTAAAAATTTCATGGAGGAGAAGTTATCCTTTTATTCCTGTCCTATAATAGACCCAGCTCTGCAGGTGATGACCTCTCCCTTGCTATTTAAAGGAACTGGTTAGGCGCCCAGGATTTAGAATCAGTGGGTTTTTTTGACTGGAGGAGAAAATTCTTCTCTGGCCACAAGGTAGGCAGCAGAAACCCAGAATTCGGGTCAGCATCACTTCTAACATAACACCCAGCTGATCGGTCTCTTCCCACTAACTTTGGAGATAAGGAAGTAAAGCTCTGAAAGTGCACATCTCTGTCTTTTATTCAGAGAAGGAAGCACCTGACATGTAAGAATAACTGAATATGACAAGGCCTTGTTATAACGTTGTTATTATGACACCTGTGACCCAACACACAAAGACCACAATCCACTTTCAGGTCTTCTCTCCTCACTGTCTGGAGTCTCAGAAGAAAAGCTCTCCAGCAGGCTCAGAGCTGTGTATCTCAGGTGTCTCCTGGTGGCCCCAAGGATTGTCACAGGCCTGGTGCTGCCACTGGTAGCATCTGCTCTGCTTCCACAGGGCTACTCACTCTACAGTTTCCTCTTATTCCCCTGCAAATTTGTACCAGATGGGAAGAGTAGTTGCACAGCACAGAGGAGAGACCAAACACCATCAGGGTATGGCATCACTGGAGATGGATCAGCAGTCTGGTTCAGAACGGGGAGACAGCAGGGTATTCTTGAATCATTTTTTGAACAAAGCAAAACTTATCCATTGCCATGAAGTGTAGTCTGCTTGGGATTTGAAACCATCAAAAATCTCAGCTTGGCTTGCTGGAATTTCTGGCCACTTTTGTTTGAAAGGGTTGTGAACCTCTACAAAGTTGGCCTGAGTTCCAGGCTGGCAATGAAACAAATTCTTCCTGGTTTCATTACAGAAATGTTTCCCACCTCTAGCGACAGAAAGCACAAAATAGAGAGATTTAATAGACTCACCACAGTAATAATGGCTGTGCACAACAGGGTAAATCCAATGAACAATGTGCTTTATTTGGCAGAAGTGCGTCAGCTTGTTGTAAGTGACTCTAACAAAATACTCCTGGTCTCCTCAGATACTTATGATTTTTAACTGCTCCCAGACCTAATCTAGTATAGTTCAACTCTTCTGTGCATTAAAGACACTGTGGCGTGTCAAGTAACCAGGATGTTTTGAGACTTAAAAATAAAACATTTTTGCCGTAGGATATGCTTAAACTATAACACATAAGCTGTGTAAAAAGCTACTAGCTGCTGAATTAACACGGTCTCTGGAAAAAGAATGTATCACAGGAGCCTGTTGTTGAGCACAGGTAATAGCAGGGCACTGCTGGAAAATCTGCAGCAAAAGCTGTTGCCATAAATGCCTTTCAGCCCCAGGCTGTGCCGTGGTGGCAGTCTGTCCTACAGCACCTGCCAGGTATCAGCCCAGCAGGTCTGTGCCCACGCTTCATGGTCAGGACCATCGACGGTGGCTTGTAAAGCCAAGAGGAGGAGCCTTTCTATCCTGGGGTTTGGATCAGGCCCATAATGAGTCTGAGTGAGCTTGATGCTCTTGCACAGCACGAGGCATCAGCGGCCGCCTGTCAGGAGAGGGGTTGCAACATCCCGGTCTGGAGAGTTTTGGTGTCTTTGCTTCATGCAGAGAGCGCCGGGAGCGTCTCGGCCCTGCGTTTCAAGTGTATTTGACAGCAAATCAAATGCATTTGTTTAGGTAAGTGGTTCCAAATGGGGGCAAGAGAAGAGATTTTTGGAACCCTTAATCTTGTTCGCTGAAACAAATTTTCAAAGAGAATAGCTGTATGTGAGCGTTCAGCACTGCACAGCTCTAAACATGAGCTTGCTGTGCTGACCGGCGCGCTGCCTGCAGCCAGCAGGTGATTCCTAATTGCTGGTGTTAGAATTAAAGGAAAATCTATATTAGAACATTAGTGCTGCACTAAGTAGGTAACTTAAAACACTGCTCTGTACAAAACTGTGCGGATGAACTGTAGGCAATTAGAAACAAATCTCCATAGCCAGTCTTAAAGAATCCTATAGAGATATTCATAATCCTACAGTACCCTCAGCTCCTAATACTGCTCTGCAGGGTGCTTTTAAGACTTGCACTTTACTTATTGTGGTGACTGTATTTGGAGCAAACTGTCATTGTGGTTTCCACAAAATGCTTTGATAATAAGCCAATATTGCACATTGAGTGTTTTCTAACTGCAATTGCAGCTTCTGGCAGCAGGTAGAAAAATCATTACAGCTATGAGATACTTCTTTCTCTAAAAGATTGCTCTATTTTTATGATAGATTTTTTTTTTTTTAAATAACAGGTTCATTTGTAGGGAGAATTAAATCCCTTTTTATTTTCAGTCATTCCCAGTTTGTAAGCTCTCCTTTCGCATAAAACCGGGAGATACTACTGCACGTTCTCCTCTGACTGGGTGCAGAGTTAATTTTTCAGGTGCATTTAGGATGTCAGTGAAGTGGTGTGTGTCAGAGGGACTCACTCTCCCTTTACCTCTCGCAGGAGCACAGAAACGCCATCGCCCATGTCCCTGAGCCCGTCCCCTGTCAGCTCTGCTGGAAGCAGCACGGGCACCGCCGGCTCCTCCTTGGCGGGGACCATCACCATCCCTCAGCGCATCCACCACATGGCTGCCAGCCACGTCAACATCACCAACAACGTCCTGCGGAGCTACGAGCACTGGGACATGGCTGACAAGCTGACTAAGGAGAACAAAGGTGCCCCGCTCAGCATCTTCCTTGTCCCCTTTGGCTCATCAGCTTTAGCTTTCTTTCTGTTCTCGTAGGCATTGTTGGGAATTGGACCCAGAACCACTGCATCTAAGAGCACAACTGTGACAGCTTGAGCAAACAGACCAAATCTGCTTGCTGGTCACTGTAGCCAATGCGTATCTTCTCTTGTCAAGCACGGAGGGGGATGTGTAACACACGCTGAACGTGGGGTTATCAGAGCAGCTGGCAAATAATTTAGCAAACATGAGCCCCAAGTGATGAGAGATTTTGAATCTGCAAATTCGTTCACAGTTTCAGCTTCTCATAGAGCACCGAGGTTATTTTCATACTGCTCTGTCAACCGGTTTAAGACTATTAAAATGCTAGCTAGGATAATAAGCAAACATTAGATTTTATGTTTATGCAGGGAGTCCGATTAGGAGATGTCCACTGAAAGCCATGACCTTGACTCTCCTATGGTTGGATTCCAAATCTGCTTGTTTATTCCTAACAACAACATGTAAGTCTTTACCACAGTCATTTCAAAGGAGTTTTGGCAAGCAGTTTGTGACTGGGTCATATCGAGTATAGTGGAGTGGCTGAGATGTAACTAAAGGACAAATTTGGCCTATTGTTGGCCAGCTGTGAACTTCCCCATGATAATGTAATTATTCAGATTCCAGCTTTGGACTTACACAAATCATTGACAAAGCTTTCTTTGATACTGGAGGTGCAGAGCCTAACTGGGAAATATTCTCATCATGAATTTGCTCATTCTCTTAAATTATACTGAGATTTCAGATGGCTGACTTTTCCTGACAAATGTGCTCGCTGTATGCAGTTTGATCTTACTCCCATTAATGTCAGTGGCAAATTTCCACTGATTTAGAGAAACTAAGCTTGAGATTTATAGAGTTTTATGTCTGAATGGTGGGTCATAATGATCTATCCCTGGATGAGGAACAATAATAGAAGTTCTGTCCAGTCCTCCCCACTGCTTTTTGTCTTTGTTCGCATTGGTTAATTTAGTAGCAGTGCAGTCATTTTGGATTTTTTCCATAGCTGCATCCATTTTCACAAAATGTGAAAGTGATTCCCTGTCAAATGTACTGCAGAATGTTACAGTGGGAATGCAGAAGGATGCTCTGATAGGAGAAAGAGATGGCGATAATCTTGTAATTAGCCCTGTGTGTTGTGGAGTTGTTAAATGTTCTACTTGGTATTGAATCAAAATAGCTCAGGCATTCAGCCAGCAGACAGAAAATGTACCCAGCCACTGCTGTTATCAGTCCTAGAGCTGGATGAGAAAAAACCTGCTGACTCTCTTTCTGCATTTTCCCCCCTACACTCCTCTTTGTTCTCTTTTTGATTTACGATCGAATAAACCCAATTCTGCAAAGCCATATAGGAATAATCTTTATTCAGATGAGCAGTCCCTTTGACTTTAGTGGGACTGGATGCATGAATAAGGGTTTCTCACATGAGCAAGACATCTAGGGTTGTGCCCTGTTCTTTCATATCTTGTTTCACAAACTGCAGCAGTGTTACAGGGAATGGAAAGTTCATGTTACTTCAAATTTCATTTAAGTATTATAAACCGTTGGAGAGAGATCAGAGTTTCATACGTGCTATAGTGTGTCTGTCTTTACGTTTTGTCTGGAAAGATACCTCATTTCTAATTAAATACTCGATTTAAAGTTGCATGCTTAAACACAAACTGCAATTTGAAAAATTCATGGTGTAACAAAAAAGTGTGTAAGAACTGCTGTGGTACTCTGCAGGTCTTCGTCATATCACATGGTGGATTCCATTTACAGAAGGATATATTTAAAACATTTTGACGTGAGAAATGTTACAGTGTTTCATGTAAGCTAGCTGTAATTATTTTAGTAGATGTCATCTGCACCTCTAAAATAATTCAAAACACCTGTATCTTGCTGGCTGGGACAGGACTCGTGCTTTTCCCCATAGCTATCTCTAATCCACCTTTGCCAGCTGGGCCGGCCGGTGCAGTGCCCAAGCTCTGGTACACTGGCGTGTGAACTGTGAGTTCAAAAATGCCCCGAGACAGCAAACAGGATAGGTGCGAAACCCAGGCTCTGCCTTGAGTCCCAGGTAAACAACAGATCTCTTGGCTTCTCTCGCAGGGGTTTGGGCAGTCAGTTCACCATGAAAATGAGATTATTTTTTCCCCCCCTTGAAATAAGTATGGTCTCAAAAAACAAACAAACCCAAACCCACAAAGAAACCCATGTTTAAGATAAAAATGAATTTTTTTTTAAAACAAACCAGATCCAGTCACTTTTTTCTTTTTTTTATTTTCTTTGCGGTCAGCTCTCATTGTTTCTGTTGTCTTCTGAATCACAGGGGGTGTCTTGCCCAAGAACATGTCCCTGATGAGCTAATAGAGATGGGTATAAAAATGTGGCCCCATCGTTGTAATGTCTAATAGTCTTTACATCTGGATCTTGCTGCTGTCATAGATGTTTCTTAGGTCATGCCCATGCAGACACAAGAGATTTCTTTGACCTTGTAGGAGCTGTGCAGCCTCCCCTTGTCCACGGCTGTCAGCTTAGGTTTTGTGCTCCTCTAAGTATGCCTGCACACTCCCAGTTTGGACTTGACTCGTGTCCAGCTGGCTCAGAGCAGGAGACAGAAGCCTTTCTTGTCAGCCTGACAAAAGACGTGCCATTAAAATAAAAAGGCATAGCAAGAGGGAGAACAACAGAACTGTGACCCGCCAAGCTGATCTGGTTTGAAAAGGAAAGTGGGAACATTCTGCCGTGTACCTCTGGTTGAATTTCCCCCGGTCAGTAGAGTTTAGAATGTGTGGGAGAATAGATGGAGTTTGTCATAAACTCTGCATCTGTAGCAGGCCAGGCTAAACTGCAGACTTCCCAAAGCCAACCCATGGGCTGGTTTGTGTTGGATCACCTAGAAAATTGTTCACCATTTATAACATCAAACTCTCAGTTGATTTACAAAATCAGATAATTTTTTTAAGCTTCCAAAGATAGCAGCACTTTTTCTCTACAGTAGAAAACTATCGGCTCTGTAGTGACAAAGGCCTGTTCTTTCACATATAAATTTAACAAGTGGCTTCAGTGCTTGTAGCTTTTTCAAGAAACATTAAACTGAAATTAGGCTTTAAGGTGAATTCTCAGTGTTTAAAGCAATTATTATTTATTTGAGCCTCGCATGAGATCTCTAGAATGCAAGCAAGACAGTGCATTATTTCACTTCTAAATGTATTGATTTTACACTGGAGGAGGGGAATAAAAGACAGAGGAAGGAAGATTAAAAGTAACTGCTGGCTGCAGCATCTTAACGCAACTGGTGATAGCCCTAAGCTTTCATTATGCTTGCCTCCAGCCAAATCACTTTGTGCTGTGATACTGCTGTAGCTCCCAAGCTGACCAGGGTCAGGCTGTCAATACTTGGATAGAAGACCTCAAAGCAGCACTTACTTACTGAAGAAAGTACTGATAATGATTTTGTACCCGGCATCTGCTCTCCCGAACTGCAGCCAATACAGTGTTAGCTGGCTGGGTGCCGCGCACTGGATTTTAGATAGGGTGAGAATGTAAGGGCTCGGCCACCGGTTGTTGTGGTGGTTGGTTGTTATCTGAGCTCCGAGGGGCTTTTAACTGAGAGCGGGCTCCCACTCACCTAAATATAGTGTAAGTGTTGTATACATGGGAATGCCTGTGCCCCAGTGAGCAAAAAGACAAGCTGTGGGAGAATAGAGGACACAATCCAGTTCCCCATTAAAAGCAATTAGGAAAGGTCTGTTGGCTCTAACAGGATTAGTCTTTCACCCAGAGAGCATCTAACACATGGCATAAAGTAAACTGGTGTGTTGCTTCCTAACGATGGCTCTCTGTTTAGTGACCTCCTGTTAACCCTTCCCAACACCAGATCCCAGTGGCCTTACCCATCTTATCTTTCCCCTTCTAGGTTCCCGACTCCTAGATGCTATTTTCCTGCTGTGTTCCCTCTCTCCTCTTCCTTCTTCCCTCCCACCCCACATGCATCCTCTGGGGCCTGCAGCTGCAGCAGGATGAGCAGAGGGCCAAAACTGCTGCAATGGCAGTAACAGAAATTGGAGGGTGGGGAAAAGAGCGAGCAAGGTCTTCTGCAAGATCCGGACTAGTTCTTCATGCCCAGGAGAGGGTACAGCATGGAAAAGGAAATGCCACAGTTCATTGCAGCTATTTAAACCATGCAGCCAGCAAACCTAGGCTCAAAAAACTGAAAGTACAGATCATCAGAGCTAAAGGAAGACTGTTGGCAACCACTCATACCATGTTGTGGTTGACTTCCAGCATGGATAATCTAATTTGATCTGTTTAAATATATTGTTGCCTTTGTTAAAATTCTTTCCTACTAACCATGTGCTCATGTGCACAACATCTTGAGAACTCACTAATTGCACTGCTGCTACTAAGTGGGAAATCATGGTAATACATGTATTTCTGTACCATTGCCTGAAACAATGCCTTCTGTTTCTTGTGTATTGCAGAATTCTTTGTAGACCTGGACTCAGTGATGGGACCCTTAACACAACACAGCAGTATGACCAATCTGGTTCGTTACGTTCGCCAAGGACTCCACTGGCTCCGCATTGAGGCTCATTTGTTGTAGTGACTGCTGCCCTGTTCATAACATCCCCATTCTTCTACCTCTACCAGCGCAGAGACGATCACTGGTGGAACTCCACTCATTTCTGGAAGTTTATTCATGTAACTTCATTTTTATTGCCTTTTTTAATATCCTATCTATTGGAAGTAGAAGTCACCATAAATGGAACTTATGACTCAAGAGCAGTATGTGTTGTATCATCTAATCATTTTCGACAATTTTCTATGCCTTGTGTCTCCTGGATCCTGCCATCCTTATGTGCTTTATGGAACGGTACATTCCCTGCAGTATTGTTTTAAGTCCATGCTGCCTTCAAGTGAAAACAAAAAAGCACTTTGAGAAGATATGGATTCCTGAGAAATAGTACAAAGCGTCTTAAATATTTGAGGGTATATATGAGAAGTCCCTTCTGAAATAAATTAGTAGAAGTTATAGCTATTCGTTGAAAATCGTCTTCTGAACCTGAACCAAGCTTTTCGACGCTTAATTCTGGCATCATTACCTGACACAGTACATTCCTAAGATTCATACTTCCTATAGGCTTAATCTCTAAAAGAGAACATTGAATATCTTGCAGGTACATAACGTAAGATCACCAAAGGTGTTAAGAGGTAAAAGGTTGAAGGAACGCCTCATTAAAGAATGATGACACACTATGCAATGAGGTTTTGATATTCCATTCTTCCTGTTTATTGTTGGCTTAATAATTTCAGTAGGCAGCAGAATTTATTGCAGTTTTTAGCCAATTTCAAAATATTAGCTTTCATACTCTTATCTACCATTCCTATACTAAATCTGTGAATTTTCTTTCAGTTTTACTGTTTAGTCTCAAGCAAATACTCATCCAACATTTTTCTTCGTAGAACAATCTCTCCTTGCATAGTGATTCAGTGAAAGCAGATTTTAACAGGACCGCTACATTCTAAGCATTGATATTGTATGTAAAAGTCCATTAATAAGTGTATGCAGATTCTTCATGAAACTCTCTAGAAGTTTAACTAACCAGCTACTGTTGAAACATTATAATTCCATGTGGCATCAATTTTCACCTGTTTTGTTCATTTCAGAGCGTTAGAAACGAACAGTATTATCTTGCTATCTTGAAAACAATGTCAAATTAAATAAAATCACCAGATTTACCCAAAAGCAATATAACATTTGTTTAATAATGGCCATGAATACTTCAGTCAGATTACCTATTTTCCAAGCTCTGCATCTGTTTACCCATGCTGTCATGTTTTGGACCATTCCTCTAACGCGTGAATAATAATGAGACAATTCAGATAGAATTTCAAAGCAATTGTGAATAAATTACACCATTTCACATTTGCTCTTTCCTCTTCTTTTTTTCCCCTGTTATAAACTGCACTGCTTTTCTGGTGCCACTGCAAGAAGCGCTGGTGCATGAAACAAAACAAAATGAATTTATATCAATAATTCACAAGACTTTAAATGGTCTCATCTCATTCTTGATATAACGCCTGCATACCTTACTGAACTGTAAATTCCATTTCTAGTAACAGAAAATGCTCATAGCAATGTAAATATTATTCTGTCTCATCTCATTGAAATAATACAATATGTGCATTAAATGCGATCCAGATATTAGTTAATTGCAATTACCTTCTGCTATATAATCCTGTATATCCTTTAATCTGGTGAGTTATTGGATTCTACTCACTGGGTTGTGACCAGATAAATGGGACAAATTTGCATTTAAAAGGTTCAGACTGTTATGATTTTTAGAGCAGGCCTTGGATATATGCAATAAGAGCAGTTTAAGGACTCTGCCCAATGCACATTTAAGACAAACGTTACAGTAACTGTTGTACATTAGCTCCCTGTAGTACTACCTTTTCTTAAAAATCAATAATTCCCAATATTTTCTTCCACAAGACTGTATTGTAAATGTAGCCAAGGTGCATCATTAGAGAAATCATCCAATTTAGGGTTGTCTGCAAAGGACATTTGCAGAACATGCACATCCTGTATTATCTGCACATTCCTGTTCCTGAAGTGGTCGATACACCCTTATCTGTTCTCGGAGGGTTTCGGTAACATGGCTGAAACTGAGTCTGACAGCATTTGTCGCGCTGATTCTGGCCCCAGTAGCTAATGAATAAAGCCACAACAGTAAGAACTATTCAGAAATGTAGATGAAAGGTGGTTGTTCGGTTTTTTTAAAGAAAAAGAAAACAAAACACTTGAAGTATTTTATTTTATTTTTTGAACAGCGTGAGTACTTGAGATGAAGTAGTGTTGGGGTGGTTTTGTCATGAGCCAGAGTTTTCCATTCTTTTTGCGAGATCTCACTAATGAGATTCAGTAACTAGTTAGTCTAATTAAGTGCATTGTCGTCACTTGTTCCTTTAATGTAGACTGAAATCCTAGACTTCCATGCATTTATGAAGGATAGATATGTCTTGAAATACAATCTTCAGACACAAGACTGTTCAAAGAGTTAGCTGCAGTCACTCAGTGAAGACAATGTATTCTCTTCCCCTGTTGCTTGCAGTAAACAGACTCCTATCTCTAAATTTACCCTGCATTTACAATCTTTTGCTTAAACAGCTTAAGGAATTAGCCCACCTGATTTTGTATCCTGTGACTTAGTTTGAAATGCATGCTGAATCAATGGCATGATTATAATAAGTCCAGCAGTCAAGTCTAGGATCACAAGCCAACTTACTATTTAGCAGTCTTGTTTCAAAAGCGGCTTAGAAACAAATCAAATATGGAGAGTGAATTACCGTCTTATCCCTGGGGATGATGCTTCTTTTGGGTTAGTTATTAAGGATTATTGCACTTTTACAGGCACTATATTCATCTCATTTCAAATGCCAACAGGTCATCTTTGTGGAATCATTTCATCCCTTAAAATATTACTTCCAGCAGAGTTAATCAAATGAGATTGTTTGTTTGTTTCAGTCCGTGGGGAAGCAGCATGTGTTTGCTTGGGCATTTGCTACGTCTGCTCTTAACACTTCCCACTTCAGGCATTCAAAGTCATGAACCAAGCATCAAAAATTACAAGATTGGCTTCAAATCACGGGTTTGGGGTTTTTTTTAATAAACTTTTTTGGTTCTTGTATTGCCTTCTGGATACTGAGCTATGAGACTGATTTCATGACATGTTTTCAGGCATTTTTCAAGCATGCTGAGGACCAGAAATGACACATTTGTTTTTAATAGTGATAAGCTGGGACAGTGATGTAATCTCTTGATGTCTGCAGCTGGGATTTAAGAAGGAGACCAAACTTCATAAAAAATTGCCAGAGCTGACAAGACTGTCATTTGTGTCCCATGCTTCAGCAGGTTTCGAGCAATATCAATAGTTCAGCAGTGAAGGGAGCATGCCAGTAAAGGGCTAAATGCAAGCATTTGGGAGCTCCATCGGTACGAGATCCAAGGGCAGCAAAGTCCTAAGTGCTCAAGCGAGGCATTTACATAGCACTTAACCTCCATGTCAAGAGCTGCAGCAGGTCTTAAGTGAAGTATTTGACAGCGTACAGGCAGAATATCCTGCTCTGAGTGCAGTGAGTATTTCTAGCCACGTGATGTGTGTTGGGTCCTCGCGAGCAGGAGTCGAAGGGGAAGCCTGAGATGATGAATCCCTTATGGGCCATGTTCCCCTAGACCCGTTGGTCACTGGTCTCAGCTATGCTCCGTTGGCTCCTTTCAGAGGACAAATCGCTCTTCCCACACTTAGCAAACTAACAGTGTAAACGGTTCATGCTGAGTTTGGATAGCTGGGGTTTGGCCCAATATTTGTGCTTTTTATATTATTTTATTTCATTTTGTCTTATCTTTATTTTTTTAGTCACTGTGGTTTAGCTTACAGCCTTTTTGGTGATAGTGTTGTTGGCAACTTTCACAGTTTGCTTCTTATAGCTTAACTTCACTTTTTCTTACATGATCTTTGGACTTTTAATCATTCAAATAGTCTCTTTGAATATATTGTCTCATTTATAAATGACCTTTGAAAGATAGGGACAGGTCTGTTGATATCAGCGTGAGGGTTTTTTTAAGAATAAAGATTGAGATCTTCGTTCCTCCTAAAGAAACAAAATCTGAGAAATTGAATCTGGACCTTAATTTCTATGCTTTTTTAATTTCACAGATTTTATGATGTTTTTCCATTATAACAGTTTAGATTCACTGACAAGTTTTTAGGTACTTTGGAAGAAATGTTTTCATTGTATTTTTATCAGTATTTAATGCTGCCTAAATCCAATGACTAGTTTTGTGAGTGCAACTTAAATGATAGCAAAAATAGGGCTGGTAAGGATTCTGATTTAGATATTAATATACTTCTTTGCTTTGCGTTCAGGAGAAACTCCGCTACACGCAGTATTGAAGCAAGCACGTGTGTGTGTGTGTGTATGTGCACATATATGTATGGGTTTGGATGTGGATTTGCAACAGAAAGTCCTTGCTCATTACTTCATAGCACAGAAAAAGATAAGAGAAAACACTCTTACCACTGCTGAGTGGTAGCAGAATTGTTAAAGTGTTCCTCTGTAGTTTGTGTATAGTCCTATTTGCATCTGTTGTCTCTTGCAGGCAATGAAGGTATGACAGAAAGTAGCAACAACTCTGTCATCTTCTGTGGTCCCTGAAGTCGGTGTCAAAACTGAATGTGCTGTCACCGTATTGTTTTTCAGAAGGTTAACTCATTTGCAATAGACCAGTGTCTTGAAATTGTAAGAAAGGCAAAATATTTCACAAGTCACCAAAGAAAATTAATTTGTCATTTTGAACCAAGTGCAGAAATGTCCTATACGTGGGCAGGCCCACAGACCGAGGTGTCATTGCAAAGGGCCTTTGCCTCTCGCAGCATCTCCCCGACCTCACCGGAGTGCACTGGGAGTGAGGCAGAGGGGATGAAGATGAGAAACCAGTCCACTGTCCTTATGACATCTGCCAGCTTTACTTTGCATACTATTTTATAAATACAAATAAAACAAATCTTGTTAATGTTGGGAGGGCTCAATTCCTCTATTTCTAATACTCCTCCTGGACTTCCATGGTATAGCCAGACCACTATACACAGCAATGCATATAGGCATTCTGTATTGTCTAATGAGATAGATACATATATCTCACTAGATATAATGACATATTTTAGATATATCACTTGATATTTTGTAGCCTATATGTATAGGCTAAAAGCTCAGTTAGGCTCTCCTTCATTATCAAAACCTCCCTGCTACTGAATGCAAAATGTTCCTGCCTGACTTACAGAGCAGCCGTCTTCTCTACAGTGTTCTTGTCAGACCTGCCGTTCTGACGGACTCGGTAGCTCTACTTTAGCCATTCTGTTTCAAAGATGTTTTGTCTATTTCTTTTGTCTTCCAAGATCAGTGATTCTGATCATCTCACGCCAGTTTAAGCCCACGGTGGTAGCTGTTGAAGTCAGAAGAGATTGAGTTCAGATCTTGTGTACAGCCGGGGGATCCCGTGGCTCTAGAGATAGAAATGAGAGCAAATTCAGGTGCAGATGAGTTACTGCATAAAACTGGTGTCAGATGAGAATCAAACCTGGCCACATCGGGAGGCACTTCAACAGAAATACTATGAAGATAAGCTGTGCCCAGAGCCACAGGGTATGTAGCAACATCTCAGGCAGCTCATTGACACTGTAATCGTATTAGGCAATGGTAAAGATGTGAAGAGTGGTTTAAAGAAACTGGGGCAAGTTGGTGTGGTCTGGCATTATGAATTTAACCTGTCTGTGCTTCTTGGGAAAGGGGATTCATTGCTGTTGATATGTCCTGCAAAATAACACCTATACCATGGTATCCTACAAAATCCGAATATGGCACCATCCCATCCAATTCCTTAATCCACCGCAGGGTGCCACCACATGTCACAAAGACCTAATGCTTGTCACTGCCACTATAGAGTTAAAACATTTTTCTCCAGCAAGGACCAAGCCCAGGGACCCAGCGGCCAGCTCAAGTAGCGATGTGTGTACCCAGTGCTTTGGAGAGAGGCCGCAGAAAAGACCTGACCTTGCCTTCCACAGGCTGTGGAGCCGCGCAGAGCTCCCTGAGCCCTCAGCCTGCTCGGGGTGTTGGACTACTACAGGTCTGCGCAGTGTGAATCCCCACATAGCCCTGGCCACAGTATTGGTGTGCGGGAGGCATGGTGGGGGACCAGTGCTGTGCCCAACAGGACTGAGTGACCCCAGCCCCACCGCTGGGTGCAACAGAGCTGTGGCTCTGCATTGCTTCTAGGTCTTGGTCCTCTGCGGCTGCAGATGGGACTTGGATT